CCGGGAGCGGAGCGCGGTTTCACGGGGCATCGCCGCTGCCGCCCCCCTCCCGCCACCGGCTTTGTCACCGGGGCCCGGCCCCGCTCCGCCCTGCCCGGCTGCCCGCCCTCCCCCGGGGCGGCCGCCTTTGTCCCCGGGTCCCTCCTGCCGCGGCCAGAGCCTGCAGGTTGAAGGAGCCGGCTCCAGCATCCCTGCCGCCTCCCTGCTCCGGGGGCCGGCAGGTCCTCCAGACCTCGGCTCCGCGCTGTGGGGTGGGAGGAAACTGCCCTGGAGACGCAGATACCGCTTGTTCCTCGGTAAAATCTGCCAAGGTCCCGATGGTCCTTACGGTCAGGAGCACGCGTGCCACCATCGCTCCTGCGCACGTCAGACAGATCCTGGTAAAGGGTACAGAAAGTTCATAAAGTGGATTTCCTAGGCAACAATGTAGGCAGATTTCCTGTATCCTTGCATCATATCCCCTGACTTTTAATCTAATGCACTTTTCCTTGGGCTACGCTATCTCTCTGTAGGCTGCTTTTGGCCAGTATCGCATTGTAAAAATGAAAGATGCACCAGGACAGAGCAGTGCTGCCAGCTATTTCCCACGTGGGTATCCTTAAAAAGCCCCAGGGAATCACCAGCTTTGTGTTCCTGAGGAACATTGGTAAATGATTTGACGCCAGGGTTAACCTCGGATTTCTGACCACCCTGGAAAGCTGGTCAAGACACCCTCTGGCTACAAAGAAACATCAAATCCAGTGCCAGAGCGTGGGATGCAGAGCAGATGGCCTGTGCATGGAGGAAACATCAGAACAGAGAGGGATGGGGGATTGCAACTTCTGCCTTTTGGTGTTATCTTCCCAAGTCTCAGTCAGTAAAGCTGCATTTTCTTGGATGTTTTTCTGCACGAGTCTGTGCTCCTTGGTTTCTGAGCCCAGATATATCCTTGGCAAACTAAGACAACTGCCTGTTCCCTACTGAAGCAGAACAGCAGGACTTTCCCGCTCCTGTTGGAGTTCATCCCTTCCATGGACGCTGTTGGCCCTTCTCTTCTCCCAAAGTAGCTTTTATCCCTTTGTTGTTGTGGTGGGTTGACCCTGGTTGGACACCAGGTGCTCACCAAAGCCGCTCTATCACTCCCCTCCCCAGCTGGGCAGGGGAGAGAAAATATAACGAAAGGCTCTTGGGTTGAGATAGGGACAGGGAGAGATCACTCACCAATTACTGTCACGGGCAAAGCAGGCTCGACTTGGGGAAATTAGCTTAATTTATTGCCAATCAAATCAGAGTAGGGCAATGAAAAATAAAACCAAATCTTAAAAACACCTTCCCCCCACCCCTCCCTTCTTCTTGCGTTTAACTTCACTCCTGATTTCTCTACCTCCTCCCCCCAGCGGTACAGGGGGATGGGGAGTGGGGGCTGCGGTCAGTTCATCACACGTTGTCTCTGCCACTCCTTCCTCCTCAGGGGAGGACTCCTCACACTCTTCCCCTGCTCCAGCCTGGGGTCCCTCCCACAGGAGACAGTCCTCCACGAACTTCTCCATCGTGAGCCCTTCCCATGGGCTGCAGTTCTTCACGAACTGCTCCAGCATGGGTCCCTTCCACGGGGTGCAGTCCTTCAGGAACAGACTGCTCCAGCGTGGGTCCCCCACGGGGTCACAAGTCCTGCCAGAAAACCTGCTCCAGCCTGGGCTCCTCTCTCCACGGGGCCACAGGTCCTGCCAGGAGCCTGCTCCAGTGTGGGCTTCCCCCGGGGTCACAGCCTCCTTCGGGCATCCACCTGCTCTGGCGTGGGGTCCTCCGGGGGCTGCAGGTTGATATCTGTTCCACCATGGACCTCCATGGGCTGCAGGGGGACAGCCTGCCTCACCATAGGCTTCACCATGGGCTGCAGGGGAATCTCTGCTCCGCCGCCTGGAGCACCTCCTCCCCTCCTCCTTCTTCCTGACCTTGGTGTCTGCAGCGTTGGTCCTCTCACATATTCTCACTCCTGTCTCCGGCTGCAGTTGTGTGGGGTTTTTTTTTCCTCTTCTTAAATATGTTATCCCACCGTCACTGATGGGCTTGGCCTTGGCCAGCAATGGGTCCATCTTGGAGCCAGCTGGCAGTGGCTCAATTGGACATAGGGGAAAGTCCCAGCAGCTTCTCACAGAAGCCACCCCTGTAGCCCCTGCACTACCAAAACCTTGCCACCCAACCCAATAAAAAGGTAAGAGGAGCTTAGTACAGAGCATGGACACGTTCACTTCATGTGGGATAAGCAGGTGATGGATCCCTGGTAACACACTGCACAAACATGAAGATGTGAAGAGGACAACTCTCCCCTAGCACACACCCACGTCAGGGTAGCTCCCTAGAGAGGAGGGAACCGCGCTGTGCAAGCCAGCAGCAAGGCCTGTTTGCTCCCTTCAGGGGGGATCACTCCGAGTTGGTAAAGCAGGGGCCACCTGGGACAAGCTGTGCTCTGACCTGGATGCCCACCTTGGTGGCAGCTCTCCAGAAGGTGCAGTCCTGGCCATGGCTGGTCAGCCCCTCCTGAGGCTGCCACCTCAGCAGCACAGTCAGCCCTTAGGACGTGGAAGCCAGGCAGGTGTCTGTGCCGAGAGGTCGCTGCTCCTGGGTCTGGGACCCCTCCGACAGGTCCCGGACAGGCCACTGCCAGCATGTTGTGTGATCAGGCGGTGCCCCATCTCATGCTTCTCCCCACCCTGAGCCAGGCCACCAGAAGGCAGCACCCTCTGAAATGGGGTACGCTGCTTGTGGCTGCATCATGTCCTGAAGGCACCCAGGCATTTTCTGAGCCAAGCCTTTTATTTACAAGGCTTTAATTACATCCTTCCCCACAGGAAGCGGAAAGTGCTTCTCCCAGACCCTCCCAAGCGCTGATCTGACTAGCAGATTCCCGGACGGTGGCTGGGGGAAGGAGGAGCAGAGCAGGGAGACCCTGCAGAGCAGTTGTTCATCGCTGGCCGAAGTCAACAGGGCAGGAGAAGCCTCTGGTGGCTGCACCACAGACACAGATGCAGCTATGCCATGGCGGTGCCTGGCCTGGCCAGTGTATTGCTGGGCCTGCCTGATGTCTGCTTCATCTTTTTCCCAGGAAAAGCTGTTTTTTTCTGGGTGAAACCTTTCAAAGTTTGAGCTTTGTTGATGCTTTTGCAGAGACTGAGCCCAGCAGACAGGGGGGCTCCTCAGAGGAAGCGAGGAGATTATTAATATCCACAGAGGAAGTCCCTGTGATGATTAAGACTCGCTTTCGGTACTCGGTGGGTATGTCTGTGCTTTCGGAAATGTTAATGGCACAGATCCACCCTGCCGCCATCCACAAGGGGTTTGCTGTCGTTCTGGTGCCCAGGTGGCCATTGAGGCACAGTGACCTGTATGCTCTGGAGGTGGCATTGAAGCTGTCAGGTGTCCAGATGGCATCTGCTCCTGATGAGTACCCGGTGAAAGACTCCTCCATTAGCAACAAAGAGAGCGGGATGGGGTCAGGGGGGTTGAGTGAGAGAGACCTGAATCGAGTGGACACCATGCATCATCACCTGTTTTGCTCCCTCGCCTTCTCTTCAAGGTGGACCTTGCATTGCAGTAGAGGAAAATCCCTTCATCTTGGGAAGGCAAGGCAGCAGTGCTAGAGCAGAGGGGCAAAGCTGGGAGGTATCAGAAAGTGTCTGTGGCCCAGATGATCTATGGGCACAGTGGATCCGAGGGCTGGGATGAGGTAGGTTTTTAAGTAAGTGCTTTGACACCTTGGAGGGAAAGGACTAGGTCAGTGCACAGTTTTATGATCAATAGCAAACCCAGTGTTGCAAGCAGATTTTTAATCAACACAAATAATACATAACGTCGGAG